ATTTGTGAGCAATGCCAGTTAAATGAAGTGTGACTATGTAAAATAGAGGAGACAGAAAATACAGTCGCTTTTGGTGCTTAGCTACAAAATGGATCTCAACAGTCTTAATTCAATTTCCTGCACCAAAACAAAAATATAGAATGTCCCAGAACCCATAAAATTAATCACATTAAAAGAACGTGATAAACACAAAATACTGTTTTTTAAAAGATATATATGTTATTCCTCTTTTAGTTAGTATAACAAATATCTGATCTAATCAGTTTATAAAGAAAAAAGGTTTTTTGGCTCACAGGTTTGATGGTTTGAGTCCATGATAGACTGGCCTCATTGTTTTGGTCCTGTGGGACATAAAGGCAGGACAAGAGCCATTCGTTCTTGATAGATTTCCCTCCGATTTAGGATGGCTGCTATGTATAATAGCTGTCTCCTTCTTCCCATAATGCCCTGCTCCCCACCTAAAGCCACTCCAAGATGGCTTCTCCCACCAAAGGACAACCTTCTTCTTCCCAACATGCCCCTATTCCCGCCAAAAGAGTAACCTAATACTTGCTCTCCTCCTAGCAACTAGTGACATCACAGGCTCCTCCAGTCCCTAGCCACTACCTCATTCAACCCCATCCCAGCTCCTATAAAAAGGGCTCCCTGTCCCAGCCATACTGCTTTTGTCTCTCCTTTGTTTGGAGACAGCCTGGCAGATCGTCCCTACAATAAAGGCTTGCTGTGGCCTGGTCTGCTCTTGGTTTTCAGCTCTTTTACCTGACAGTTGCACAACTAGAAAGACGAGAGGAAGGGAGCCATGTCCCACAACACCCTTCCAGGGTGCACCCAGGACCTGAGCACCAGCCATACAGCCTCATCTCAGTTCCCATCACTGCCCAGTGCCACGCTGGGAACCAAGTCTTAAACACAGGAGCCTCTGGCCTCCAGTTAAGATCCAAACCATAGCAGCTTACATACACATCCACTACAGCTATTCCCACAGTGAAGCTCATCGTATACTTTGTGCAGCTGTCATCAAGGAAAAGAGAACAGAGCCAGTTGATAGAGAATTACTTTGTAGAGAAAATCTTTTTAACCTGTGAAAACATGAATCACTAGCAAAAGTAGATGCTACTATACAATCAGATTCTCCAGCCTACATAGGACTATCAACACTGGTTGGGAAAAATACCTTTTCTATTTCTGTAATCATACTATCCTCATTTTACAAAACGTCTAAATTGATCTGCCCTAATTTTCCATCTATCTTTTGGGCTTCCTTGCTTCAAGTGCTTGTCTCTAGATGATAACATTTGCTTTTGTATGGTTGAAAATATTCACAAAGAAATTTAAATAAAATAATTAAATTAGTTCACTGTAGTCAGAACTACTTTGGTTTAGACAACAGGTCTGGGATTGATGGCAATGTGTGCTTTAACTGTAGTAAATTTCCTAAATATTCAGTGTACACTTGACCACCATGTCTATAAAGACATGGTAGCAGCAGCAGTCTAACAAATTTCTTGCTGCAAGGTATTGTCCATTTCTGAGTTTTTTCCATACTAGACTGTGGACTTCCTGAAAGCTGAAACTGTTTCTTTTGCTTTTATTTTCCCAAGCCTCATCATCTAGAAATTAAAACATGGTTAAAGGTTAAAACCCGGGCAAGGTTAAAGTTAAAAAGAAGTAGAAGCTCAGGAAAAGGAAATTGTTCAAGGAAAGGGGATAAAGAAGAGACTGACTGAAGAGGGTATTTCTGAGTTGTAATCCAACAAACAGAACAATCTGGAATGAGGATGAAAGTTGCTGATCAGATGTGGCAGGTGACAGGACTCTGTTTGGCACGCCTGCTGTTTTTAATTAACTCCGGAGCAGTAGCTTGTGAAAGAAAACTTTTTTGGAGCAATTAACCAGGGGCAAAGTTATCTCCTTGCTTTTGACCAGGAAGTCTAGAGCTAATTGCTGGCAACCCAATCACCCCGTAGGACTTCCTGTCTCAGAAATCACAACCCAGGACCAGAACCTCACACCCAGTTCCACTCCCAGGCACGGTGGGGCCAAAGAATCAGGAGCAAACACCGTGACACACCACTTCCAGCAAGGAAACCTTCTCTGACTCCTTTCACCAGCAATCTCCTCTACACTAGAATTCTTCTGTCCTTCCGTGTGTTATGTCCTCGCGTGTTTACTGATAACTTATAAACGAAAGGTACCAGAGTAGAAAACACCATAAATACCAAAATGAATTTTCACCTTCCCACTAACACCAACGCAAATGACACTAAATGTGTCTCCTCTGTAATTTACTCATCTCTCCAATGCTCTATTATCCACCTAGAATATTCCATCACACCAACTCTCACAACCAGTAACAACTGGCCAACATCTTCCAAGTTGTATTTTCAAGACCCACATAGCATTTTTATAAGAGATACACTGGCATTACTTCCAGGAAGCTGGAGTTTGTTTATGGGGAATCAAAACCTTCTAATGTCAGGGAAATCCCTGCTAGAGGCAAGGTATCGTGCAAAGAAGAAATGTCTCCACTCTAATCCTAAGAAGCCCAGAGCCTCTATGCAACTCTCTGAATACCTGAATGCAGCTGCACCATGGTCGAACATTTAACACACACATATAGAACTCTGGCCTAGAATTCCAAGTCGACAACATGATTGTCAATGAATGCCATCTCCAGGCCAGGGAGGTGAACTCTGTGAGGTCAGAGAGCCCAATAGGCCTCTGAGTTCTGTGCCGCTGGGTGATAGCTCCTCTCACAGCAATTCCCCCAAAATACTTCTTCCCATCTAGGTTATTCTTCTACATCAGGACCAGCTAAACTGATTATAAACATGTCACAGCATAAGGAAGTTTTAGTTCATGGAGATAGCTCTATTTTTTTCCATAGGGTTTTTACTCCCTGCTTCACTGTTCCTGATCCATTTGTGTTTCTGGGTCTGGTGTGGTGGGAAATGAGGTGAAGAGAAGTTTAAATAGCCCATCATCTCCCCTGGAGCACTTGTGTGAGGATCCTTCCTCAACTACACAGTACAAAGACGCCAAATCACTAGGTCATCTTGGGGCGGGGTGGCACTGCAGTCCCTCAGCTGTAATCATTCTCCTCTAATCTTGAGTTACTTCTTTGGCGTGAAGGCACCTGCCAATGCGCTCCGAATCAGGCATCCCCCGTGTAGGGAGTCCCTTCCCGGTGCTTACCTGTCACCCCTCACTACAATCCCAGCTCCGGGCAGCTGCGCCCAAACTGCTAACCAGCTCTTCTGTTTCCTGTTTAACAGTTATAATACAAAATTTTCAAGGAGGTTTTATTATCTATATACATTAGGTATACTATATATTTTATGTGTGGCCCAAGACAATTCCTCTTCATTCAAAAAAGAAAAAGGACGAAAGAAAAGCTAGGCTGCAGGTTGGACATACCTTGTGGGAGTATGTGAGCCCAAGAACTATACTTTTTCACAAGGCAACAAACTACTCCCAGACCAAGCAGCACATTCCAGGTGAAATGGAGTCACCCCCTACATGCATGGAGTGCAAACCCTTATCAAAGCAACTGCATGTCACTGAATTGAAATCAGCCCAGTTTTTCCAGTTGCAGTGTAAATTTTTTGCAGTTACCAGATCTTATCATTTTTTTCAGGAGTATATGTATCATTTGATTTGAATTAAACTAAGTGAGAAAAACGATCCTGCAAAGCTATAAATCTCTGGGTTATTCTCACTATATTTTACGTGATCAAAATTTTAAACAATATTCCGGAAACCCTTGTAATGAAAATTGTAAGCAATTTTTAAACATAAATTTTCTGGGATATTGAATTTATAAATGCAAAACTTGTATCTTTTAATTCTATTTTTCATTTATTTTATTTGGACATGTCTGCAAGTGCATCATGCCTGCATTCATCTTAGGAAGTAGGTACCTGTACTTAGCATATCTTGATTCTCTTTGTTCCCCTTCTTTCTCCATCCACCTCCCTCTCCATCTGTAGATCCCCTTTCCCCATCATCATCATCATCATCATCATCATCATTTTAGTTCATGGTTTCAACATTAAATGATTGCATTCACTGTGGGTCGTTGGTACACGTACCTGATGCAGTTTGAAACATTTTATGTCTCCTTCCTCCTCCCCCGCTCTATTTTTTGGTCCCCTTCCCATTTGCAAAAGTTCTATCTCCCTGTTTCCTTTTATCAATTTTTAGGTTTTTCGCTCTCTATTTTTACTATGGATAACTCAAATGAGAGAAAGTATACAGTATTTAAGCTTGTGTATCTGATCTATTTCACTTAACATTATGTTTTCTAGATATATTCATTTTACCACTGTAAAACTACTATTTTAATCTTTAGTGCCGTTGTCATTAAATTTTACAAAAACATGTACATGTATCAATATCAATGTTTGCTGAGATTCTACTTCTTTGACTTACATCAATATTGTTTTATTCAGCTGCTATAATAAGATGCTCTCAATAAAAATGAAAATGTAATGCTTCTCACTTATAAAGTAAATATGGTGGCACAAAATAGGATTGTAAAAGATTATGCCTGCTTGGGTAAGCAATGATTAGGAAGCAGAAATGTAGCATATCTCCTACGTTAATTATGGTATAAAGAGATAACAAAGTTTTGAAACTAAGCAACCGAGTAATTGTGTAATAGAAATCACTTTGAGTGAAAGAGCTAATCGCCTCATTTCTTGTTTCAGACAATTAATAATGAGGTATTATTACCCAATGTTTATAGTAATAATAGAAATTCTCATGGTAATAAAAGCAACCTAAGTCCAGCTCTCTGTAGTGGCCCTTGACGGTTCCTTGATGCAGAGCAGATAGATCTCTATAGATTGTGTTCTGCAAAACTGACCATGTCTGTAAGAATCGAATGCTATCAAAGTGTATTTATCTATCACTGACCACAAAAACTCATAAAGAACCTCCAGAGGTACAACCTTTATGTTCCTTCGTATAACAGGACAACTTAGCTTTCCCTAAAGAGGCAGACAAGGATATGATTGTCTGAAAAGTGCAGTACTGCACATTACACCTTGTTTCTTCATTCATTCCACAACAGTTACTGGCCAGGCACAGTATGTGAGTCCACTCTCTCATGGGAACTGAAGTCCGGTCAGGGTCTCCATATACTGTCACTTGGAAAAGTCTGAAGTTCACCTATAAATGACCTGGCGTAAATGATCATGATCCAAAGCCCTCTTGTCCATGAACACAAAAAAGCAATTCAGTTTCCTCTTCACTTTTCAATCATTCCCTTCTTTCCTGAAGGCTTTGGACACCACAGCCTCTTCTCCACTCCTTTTATCGATTTATCCATGTTGTCTAGACAAACAAGATTGTTTTTCTGTTACCATGCCGTGGGAAGATAACTAACATAAAAGAATGAACATATAAATGGAACTTCTAATGACGAGAAAGGGGAGACAAAGCAAAAAATATCTGAGAATAAGCTATTAGAGACATTACATTCGTAATAGAATATCTGATACAATCTATATGTAGATCAAAACATCAACAGTACTCTGTAAATATGTACAATGTAATGTGTCAAATAAAAAATAAATTTTATAAAAAGTCATGGTGATTTGTCTGGAAAAACGACGATGAGTAATGAATCTAACAAAAAATGGGATTGATTTGGAATGGCCCCTCAGGGATAAGAAATTTAAAGGAGATCTGGAAATAGAACTGCAAGACAAGCAAACAGATGAATGGATCTGCTGCCACATGAGATAACACTGAAGGGAGGCTGCTGACAGGCACCAGCAAGAAGCACTGTGATAACTTGGTTTAGGAGAGGAAATAGGTACAAATTATTGATGATGTGGAACATTGCATTTCTTTATGATCAATCACTGTTTTACTCATTTGTATGGGTTCAAAATTGTACATTAATTCCTTGGCATGGTATAGAAAAAAAATATAAATTTTGCCAGGAACTCATTTCCTAGAAGATGCAAAATAATCCTGAAGTGAAACAGCAAAACCTGGTTTGCAGGCTGGAGGACTCAGGAGACATCTTCGAGCAGCTCAGAGTCAAAGGACTCCTCTATCATCTCTGCACTTGCCTCATGTACTTGGCCCTGAGCATTCTCCTGGACCTCTTTTGAGTTAGACACCCCTCTTATGCACCCCACAAATCTTACACTTCTCCTATCGCAGCAACAAATAAACTTTATTTCTTGCTAGGTTGTAGTTTAAAGTGAAACTGTTTTACTGCCTAATATGGCAGTCAGTAAATACTTATTGAAGCAATGAATGAATGCTTAGATAGTAGTGATGACTTCCCAAAAGGCAAAAATAGCTAAGAGCAATGTGCCCCCCCCATAGGAACCCCTGAAGAGGATTCATTCACGGCCCCTAGGAAATGTGTCACTGCTATGAACATAGGCTTCTTCTAGGAAGCAGGCATCCAACCTAATTCCCCTCTCATTTCATGACAAAGGATGGCAGATAAGCTGAACTCATCCCTGCCGGGGCCTGATTCTCAGTCCAGCAATCCATCTTAGTATCCACGACACGATGTTTCCTATAGCTCGAATTCCTTCTAAGGACTGAAGTCTCTAATGTACAATTACTGTGGAATGATATTATGGGTTCATGAGCTTTACAGTACCGACTACAACACAATCTCGTTGTAACTCCTTGTAACTACACTACATCCATGTTTCATAAAGAGACAGCACAGGAATTAATTAAGAGTTTTGGTCATTCGTTGATCAAATTAGGTGATACATCAGCACACTTTATTTTATTCTCTATTTCTTAATAGTTAACATATGTCCTGGGTGGTAGTTTTCTAGTTATAAATAATTTCATTTAATATAAGATTAAAAATGGTCTTTACTTCTATGTTCAGTTAATACAAGAATTTCATTTTGTATAATTTCATCTTAAATTTGTTTTTCAAGTTATAAGAATGAACCTTCCAATTTCAAGGGAAACAGAACCAAGTACAGTAACAGACAAAAGGTTATTATATTTTAAATTTTAGAAGAAAAAAATGACAGTAAAACGCTTGGAACTATTTGATCGATATAATATACTCAGAAGTGAAACTTTCAATGACAGATAGGATTTCTGTATGGCAGTAGTTGGTTTTAAATAATTCAACACTTTGCTTGTTTGTTCAGATACACCAAAACTTTTGTTTTATTTTGAGTTTAAGAACACGAAGGTACACAAACGAGAATGTGTACTTTAAAACAGTCATCATATTGAGGAGACACACAAAACAGAAAATTATTTGAAAATTCAGTCACATACTAAGCTACAACAGAACTTTAAGGAGTAAAGAATAATATGAAGAATATTATTTCTTTCAGGATAACAAAGAACAATTAGTTTAATATCTAGAAGAGGAATTTTACAAGAAAGAAATTAAATTGCACTTCATAAAAGAAAAAAATTTTCAAAATGGAGTTCATTAAAAACTTCTTAATTTTAGAAGTTATGATAACCTCTCACTCATCATCAGTCATTTAATAGCTCCCAATGTACTCACACAGGGATAAAACGGGAAGCAGAGGCATAGAGAACCTGTTTGAAAACTCTGAAAAGTGAAAAGTAGCAAAAAGGAAAAAAACCAAACACTGCTGTGATGTTTAACTTTTATTTGGCATCTCCTAGCTGGGGTTTCATTTAGCCTGAAACCCAGAAATGGACTTTGGGTGTGAACAAGGAGAGCGTCGAGAATGTTCCTCCAGTTCTGACTCAAGAAGCTTAAGGAGCAGAAAGGAGCTTCCCAATACTTAGAGAGTGTGAGAACTCCATTTTTCTTCCTTTTCCTTTTCTCCCTCATGCCCATACCTAAAATGTGGGTCCACGACCACAGGTGAGGTGGCAATGAGGGGCTGGGGCTCCTAAAGCCCTGGAGGGAATCTTCATCCTCAGGCAGAGGACACGTGGCTCAAAGGTGGTAGAGCAATGCCTTGCCACCCTCTTCTGTCCTTTTAATGCTTCACACCGGATCCAGATGAAATCACTGGAAGTGTGCGGCAAAAGATTCAGCTTTCTGTCCAGAAGACGGAAAAGGGAGCCTCCAGAAACAGGAAATAGTGCAGAGTAAGGAGTGTGGGAAAGCAGCACCATGAAATGCTTCAGAGTTCTTGGGCAAACCACCAGCTGCATATTTGCAAATTCGACTCTAAACAGCATTACAGGGGCGGTGACCGCTGCCCAGATCCCATGCTGACCACTATGAGTGATGCACACTAAAAGGATTGTGTGCACGACAGCAGCTGTGAAACAGGAGCTGACATTGAACCGACAGTGTGCAGAAGACTAGCTGGTATCTGTGGCCTGAACCCAACTTGGCCAACTGCCTGCTGAAACAAAAATATCAATATTTTTCATAGGATTTAAGTAAGATCCAGAGTCTCATAATACAGATGGTCCCCAGCTTAGAACCATGCAAAAGCAATCGATGCATATTCAGTAGAAACTATACTTTGAATTTAAATTTTTTATCTTTTTCTGGGCTAGAAATGAGTTTCAACTTCTTCATTTTTGGGGGGGATATGGGGGATCGAACTCAGGTCCTTGTGCTTGTGAGGCAAGCGGCAGAACCACTGAGCTAAATCCCCGGCCCTAGAAATATGGAGTTTGAGACTTTCTGTGATGCTAGGCAGTAGCAGGTAGGCATAGCTACCAATCAGCCACACAATCTTAAGGAGAAGCTGATACCTACAGAACACCATGACATCCAAAGGTTAGGTACACTAAATGGGTGCTGTGCTTTAGATGAGCATCTCCCACAGGCCCATAAGCAAAGCCTGGGTCCTTTACAAGGTACTGGGAGGTGCTGTGGGCCTTTGGAGGTGAGGCCCACTAGGAGGTCCTTAGTCATGGAGGACACATGCTTAAAGGGATGGGGGACCACGGCCCTCCCATTTTTTGGTCTCTCTGCTTCCTGGCTTGGGAAATGAACACTCATTCTGACACATGCTTCTACATGATGTACCACCTTACCAGAAGTCCAGATCAATGGAGCCATCAACCTTAGACTTAAACCTTCAGAGACATAAGCCAAAATAAACCTCTCTTCTTCATAAGTAGCCTAACTTTTGTGACTTTTGTGACTTTCATGACTTTTGTTATAGTGACGCAATGCTGATACAATCCATTCTTTACGATATTTTCAACTTGCAATGGATTTACTGGGACATAAACCCATCATGAATTAAGGAGCATTTGTATGTGAAATGTCCAGCATATAATCCAAAATTACTTGGCCTATGATGAACTGGAAAATCTCAACCTAAATAAAGATAATCAACAGACACCAATGCTGAGAGGACACAGATGTTATACTTATCTGCCAAAGACACTAAATCCAATCGAATGAAAATGCTCCAGAGGCTAAAGTCAAGTAACCCGGAAATAAATGAAATGATAGAAAATCCTGACATAAAATGAAATATGTAACGTAAAACTGAATGGAAACTTTAGAACTAGAAAAATACAATAACTTTTTTTTCCCTTAAATTCTTTTATTGGTACATTTTAGGTACACAATACGTTTACATTTACCATTGGGTGCTTGTACCTGTACCTGATGTATCTTGGTTCTTATTTTTTCCCCATTCCCTGTCCTCCCTTCACCCCCTCCACCCTTCCCTATTAACACAGACTTTGTTTCCATTTTTTTATTTTCTCATAATTTTTCCTTTCCCTCCTTTCCTTTCCCCTTCCCCTCCCACCACCCTTATACCTTTGGACCTTTTCTTCCTATTTCAAATTATCAATTATTCATTTTAATCATTTTAATTCTTATTTACACTTTCAATTTCTCACACTAGAGAAACTATTCGGTATTTACACATGTGTGTCCTATTTATTTCACTTAAGAGTATGGCCTCAATGTGCATCCATT